CACTGAATTATTTTTGTTTCATCCAGTACAGATATAATTTTCATTATATAAGAAAATCTTTATTAAAAATAAAGAGCTTCCTCTAATTGGGCATATATTTTCAGTGCAGCATGCCTTATTAGGACTATGGGTTGGATAAAGGCTTAAATATATTTAAAAGTAGCTCCACTAAAAATTATACATAACTTATTTCACTATCTTAAATTATACCTACACCATTTAATCAGGTTTTGTTATTCTTAGCCATGGAACCTCTTCTGAAGGTTCTTGATTAAAATACATAAACTACATGTGCACTGCATGCTTAATTTTGGTTAACTCAATCATGTCTGATTAAGTAATCCACTTTTGGGGGTTCAATATTCACACACTGAATCATACACAGGCTGAGTTTGTTCAACGTGAGGCTAAAATATGATTAATGGATTTGTATTGTAAAGACATAAAGTGATGTAGTAGTTTTGAATTGGATTACCAATAAATCCTCTGCCTGAGAGTAATGCTGTTTCTGGTTATATTATTTCTTTGATTGCTTGCTTTAATATATACACTAGAGAGAAGCAAAAAAGAAAACAGGAAAGGGAATGCACATGTGAACAGACAAAAGGAAAAGGGGAAAAAGGAAACAACAAAAAGTTAAACTACATACAAGAAGTCATTTAGCCTAACTGTAGTTTTTCAACATTCATTAGACCTCAGCTGTACAGAATAATGTTCAATATTCTACTGAGGAGGTGGGGCAAGAGGGGGAAATGCTAGATTATTTTCATAAGAAAAATACCCTTTATTCAAGAGGTAGTCATCCAGTTGAATATTGGGTAAGAAGAACTGAACCAGACAGTAAAAGAATTGGTGAGGTCACCTCACTGGATTCCTTTAAGTGGAAGATGGACAACTATCTATTAACAATGCTTCAATCTGGATTTTTTTTTTTCCAAAAGTCAACTGCAAAATTTCCTGTAGTTTTGGAGTGCAAAACACGATACAACTTATTATAATCACTAGGTGTCATATTAAAAATAAATATACATCCCTAAAGTATATGATGCAGCTCCAGCCACTCCGGGTTCTTCCTTAATTAAAATTATACGTAAGCCACATCCATCCTGAAATTGCTTTTGAAAAGTAACTCACTCTTCTCCAGATGCTCCATGATCTCTTCCCATTGCACATGTGAGATAGATAATCAATACTGAAGTCTAAGATTTCTAGAGATGTTGTTCCTAAGCAATCAACATAACTCAGAATATTCACAAGTTGGAAATAGAGAGAAGCTTTCACATCAAAGAGGAATAGTATTCTTTCTTCCCCATTCCTCCCAAATAACCAAAATTATAAGAAACTCAATAATGGCCTCAACCTACTGTACAAGATTTACTGGTGACAAGAACTCTATATTGCTAAGATCAACACAATTTATAATTCACTCCAAACTTGGTAGAATGGTGAAGAAATAACAGCAAAGAACAAAGAAAATGAAAGTTACTTAACAGAATACATAATGCTGACAAAATCCTATGCTGACTCCCAAAATAATCTTGGAATAAAATGACTAATTTTACTTACTTTCAAGATGCAAAGAAGATTTTATGAGCAAACTGCTAAAGGGGAATAAGAGTTTACTTACTTATTAAATTTACAATATATCCCACTTATTTTATTTTTATCTCATCTTTATTACCTTATAAGTACCTCAAGGTGGCAAACATAAAAAATGCCCCTTCCACCTCCTATTTTTCCCACAATAACTTTTTAGGTGAGTTGAGCGAAGAGAGAGTGATTGGCCTAAATTGGCTTTCATGTCAAAAATGAGACTAGAACTCACAGTCTCCTAGTTTCTAGCTTGTGCCTTAACCACTAGCCCACACTGGCACACTCTTTTCTTCCATTTTTCTCCATAACAACCCTGGGAAGTAGGTTGGGTAGAGAAAAAGTTACTGGACCAAAATCTGTCGTTGAGCTTCTGTGGACTTGGCTTACCACAATCCTACTATAACACTTTAATTAACGGATAATGTTGGCTCTCAGTTTAACAATGTTTACATTCCTAAAACACTTTACCAGAAATAAGACAGATTTATCAGCTGACTTGCAGGAGAACAAAGAAAATCTACAGGGAAAGCAATCAATAGCATAGTGGTGGTCCTCACGTTATGACTACTTGCCTTTTATGGTTGTAAGTTGTGATGGTCATAAATCTGATCATCCATGTGACCAACCTGATTTTATGATCATTTTGGCAGTGATAATTAAACACAGTGGTTATAAAGCAAACAAGGCAATCATTAACTGAATCAAAAGTTTGCTATGGATTCATTTAGCCAAAAACTGGAACTAAATGCCGGTTTTCAGCAAAACTATCATAAAACATGGTCATGTGACCACAGAATATTTTAAATAGTTGTAAATGGATGTTGGTTGCTGAGTGTCTGATGTGCAGTCATATGACTGCAGGGGGAAGGGGAGCTATCGGAACTTTGAATCCAGGTTCTAAGTAACCCCAGAGAGGTCCATCTTAACTTTGAATAGTCATTAATAGGAGCAAACATTGCTCAACAATTATGGAATCCTGAGTGGCTGTTACAGAGGGAGTAGAATGGAATTTTTAAAAGAGGATCATTGAATGGAAATAGCTTACTATATAATATTTTACTGCAACATAACCCTAACCCTAACCCCTAGTTAAATATCTGGACGGAAATAACGTAACACATGTGATCAAGCTATGCCAACTTGTTAACTCTTATTTCAATTTGTCAATTCACCTCATGTAATTGTTATCTGAAAGTAGAACTGTTCAAGTTTGTATCAAAATTTCAAATTCACCTTTTTCCAAAATAAAACAAAAGTATATTCTTTTTACACAAAAGAGACATTTTCACAACTATTAAAAAAATAAAGCAAGAAGCTATATCAGATTCATTTTACATTTCAAGACTATGTCAAATAATTTTTAGAAAATATAAAGAATTTATACTTATTATCATTTAAAGTGATCTAGGTATAAAAATATTTGAAAATGGAAATGCCAATATTTGAGTATACAATAGAAAATAAAAAATTTAAATATAAACATCCATGGTGGAAGAAATTTATCTCAGGATACAATTCATACTGACATTTTTATTACTTTTAATAAAACAAGTTAATGCATTTTTCAAGCATGATGCCTAATTGTTATCATCACAAGAAAAGTATTACATCCATCCGTAATGCAATCTAATTTGAATTAAGATGAAATCACACTGCAGAAATTTGAAGCTTTGCAAACTAAAAATAATCCAACAAGCAGTATTTTCAGCCCTATTGCTACTATCCTATTTTTAAAAACAAAGAAAGCTTGCTTAAAATATCCAATTACACAACTCCTGTTTGCTGCAACTCCCAATTAAGCTTTCAAACATATTTTTTGAAATAAATTCTAAAGGTTCATTTTACCTGGAAACAGAGAAGGGGGAAATAAAAAAATGTTTTTGTTGCTGTTAAATTGATTTTCCCTCTCTCCTCCAACTAAAGAGGATGCTGGGAAATATACAGGTCTTTTAAAGAGGGCACTTAACTCTAGTGCAGGGGTTTCAAACTCACATCATCACAGCGGCATCACATGACATATTGGGACTTTCCCCTCCTTCACTAAACTGGGCGTGGGTGTGGCCAGTGCATGACGCATCCAGCCTCTGTTATGCGAGTTTGACAGCCATGCTCTAGTGATAATTTCTTTGGTCTTTTGAAGAATGTTAATTATGCCTCAAACTTTCTTTGGTAAGAAACAAATATGTCTGTTTTCAATTTGATGCCCTCCAGATAGGGTGGAACTATTATTCCCTTCACCTTATTATTCTCTTAACCTGGAGCCATTCTACGGTAGCCGGGAAAATAAATGGAGCCATAGTGCAACTGATCTGGGAGTAGCAGGGCAATGCTAGATAGTGACAGAATAGAATACTTTGTTGGCCAAGTGTGATTGGACACACAAGGAATTTGTCTTGGTGTAAATACCCTCAGTATACATAAAAGAAAAGATACATTCGTTAAGAATCAAGAATCATAACGTACAACACTTAATGACCTTAGGAAAGCAAGCACAGCATGCCTGAAATGTACCACATTGGGAAAACTAGAATAGGAAATTATTGTTCAGTCAGTAGGCATTGAGGTCAACCAGCAGACCATCTGGTGAAATATATAATTAATTAACATACAGTTATTTTCCTCTTTTGCCTAAGAAAATTAAGCTTTAATCTTTACTTATACTTTACTCCTCCTCTTTTGTGTAAGACAAAGAAAGTAAGGTAGCAGTTTTACCTCTCAAAAATGGTTAGTGCTCTGTATTCAGAGTATATGTGCCAGGACTTCACATTCACTACATGTTGATATATATTTACATATTTGCGATATTTTTTTTGATATATTTGATATATTTTCTTCCAGATGATCTGTCCTGCTAAAGGTTACTCAAGACCCTCTCTCCAAGTTATCCATGCTACCAAAGATAATCAAAGTATTGATCAGGCTTTCAGCGGTACCAAACAATAGTATAGCAGTAGCATAATTTATTTGCAGAGCTAAACAGACACCCATTTATGCCTTCTTCAGGTGAAGCATTTTAAAAGGGACATTTTTATTCAAAACCTGCCTAAGTCTGTTTATTCCCTCCACTATCTCCTCCCACACGCAGTGATTTAACTTAAGACATTTTTTTTAAATTACGGGACCGTTTTCCCTACACAATCACTGAGTCTGAAATGTGCAGAAGCCATCACTGGTATCGGAAACATCCAGCCTTGCGCAACTGTGTTTTCTTTCCCACCCGAAGGCATCCTTGTCTGGAACCGAGTCAAAGCTCGGGCAGCTCCTCTCCTCCTCTTTTCGCCACCCTGCCAAACATCCACGAAGGGCGGGAGGAAGAGCGAGCCCGGAGGCTCGGGGGGGGGGGGGGACCCGGGTCTAAAGCCCAAGGAAGCGCCCTTCGACCGACCGCGCCATGGCGGTCCAATTACCTGCGCGGCCATGAAGGAGAGGTCCATGGTGCTGTTGGGCTCAGAGCTGCTGCTGCTGCTGCTACTGGTGGTGGTCGAGACAATAGTAAAGCTGGTAGCGAGGCTGCTATCACCGCCGGCCGGCCCGGACGCCTCTTTGGGTAACTGGGGAGCGGCCTCCTGCAGGACCAACTTGGGACGCGTTACCAATTCCAGCTCACTGGGATGGCGGCGGCAGTGCCGTCGCGGCTGCCCGGCTGCAATCAGCTTTCTGGGGACATAGTCGGCCGAGAAGCTTGCCAGGCGAGACAGGCGACGGCACCAGCGGCCAGAGGATCGACGCCGAGGCTCCAGTCTCGGCGAGGAAAGAGACACGCGTGGAGTCACCTGCCCGCCTTGGTCACGCCCCTCCCCACGGAGGCTCAGGGTGCGGAAGAGCCGAGAGAAAGCTCCTTCCAGGGAGGCTGCGAGGAAGACAATGGGGAAGGGTGGGGGGATTAGCCGCGAGGTGGCTTCTGCCCACCACCTACTGATGGATGTAGTCGTGAGTCTCCCCCGCCTCCGGAAGGACGCTTCCTTTCTGGTAGCAGACGGCTCGTCTGGGACGCCCGAGTGAAGTTATCTATGGTCGTCGGATACAAGACCGTGTTTTGTTTTGATCTAATAAGCGACTTAGTCAACTGAAAGGCGGGCATATTACCTTTAACAGGTGTCAGCCGCTCCTGCTTGTTCAAGCGGGTAGCATCTTTCCTGGGAATAAAGTTCATACTTAGGGAATTGCTGCACAGTCCGATATGGGAAGAGTACGTTTTCTTCTGGTTGAACAAATCTGACAGATTTAATCCAAATGAAGTCAAGTCTTTCATATACTGAACTGGAACGAATGATTTAGGAAACTTAGGTACCCAATGGCGAATGAGGTACCCAATTCTACACTAGAAAGAAATAGCGGTTGTGGTCATTAACCACCATAAGGGAATTGATATTCAGATGTCCAAAACCAAATAGACAATATCAGGATAATTAGGAAAGGTACATACCAACAAAGAATTTTGGCTAAAAGGCAATACACATTCAATCAAAATACGCTACAAAATGGAACAAAGGAGAAATATATATGAACATTAGCAATCCAGATAATATAAAGTTTGAAACAGCAATACAAATATATTCTAATAAAACAATAAAATTGCCCCAAATGGTTTTAAAATGTATAAATTTCTCTTACAGATCCCTGTCAAACCTGAAAAAATATAATAATGCATGGCATGTACACATAAAGTTAAAAAACAGCCAATGCTCCAATTCTGACCTGAGTCAGGTAGGCTCAACTGTTCTTAATTATTCTTTGCCTGATTTTTTTTCATCTGCCATGCAAAATCTGTCAACATGTTATTTCAGGGTTGATGTTGGGAAGCAGAAATAGCTTAGTGTTGATTGTTGTGTCCTGTTTTGCTGGTCAGGAGTGTGGCATTTTGGGCATTTCAAGATTTTATATAAAATTGGCAATACAGAACTATCATACAGATGTTTGATGGTTTCTGCCTGTCCTGAATCACAAGGACATGATCATAATGAATATAGTGTCTTTTTGTATCTTCCAGTCATAAGTCCTGAAGGAAAAATGTTTCCAAAGTACCAGAAGGCAAATCAAGAAGCAATGGATGGAAACTAATCAAGGAGACAACCAACCTAGAACTACAGAGAAATTTCCTAACAGTGAGAACAATTAACCAGTGGAATGGCTTGCCTTCAGAAGTTGTAGATGCTTCATCACTGGATGTTTTAAAGAATAAATTGGACAACAATTTGTCCAGAATGATATAAGGTCTCCTGCTTAATCAGGGGGTTAAACTAGAAGACCTCAGAAGTGCCTTCCAACTCTGTTAAGTTGTTATATTTTAGCCTGCTTTCATTTTTGTAATGTAGCTCTCGAAGTTGGAGGTTCCCTCTCTTCTAGATCATCTTTAAGCAGCTTCTGAGTGTTTGGCTACCCCCTTCTCATTATATGATTAGCAGCTTCATCAGTGCTGAGAGGGTCAATAGGTATGTAGGATTGATTAGGAAGGCCTAGGTTATTGTCAGCCTTTTAAAGAAATTTTAAGAATAAAAACTGAGAAGTGAAATAGTAGCTTTTCTCTAAATAGGTAGGGTGATAGTTCATTATTACTTACCAAATTAATTTGTATATCAGAATCCAAATCTGGGTCAATATCAGAGGTGAGAGAAAACCCAAACTGCTTTAATTCTTGAATCTTGTAGGTGTGAGTTTATAAGGCAGGCCTTTCAAAGTGGCAGCCTGCGAGCTGGATAAGTCACATGCAGGCCACGCCCAGCCCGGCTCTGCAAAGGCAAAAAACATCGCAACACGTCACGATCTGGCCTATGACGTGATCAAGTTGGACACCCGTGGCAGAGGGATAATTTCACCTTCTTGGAACTGCATTGAACATGAATGTTGGGAAATTATACTCTCCTCTAAGTTGTTGTCCAGTAATAAGTCTGACTGAGGGATAACAGATGTCAACGCGAGGTTTGTTTTAAAATCAGGAGTCTATTCTGAAGATCTGTTAACTGAGCATAACAATGAGTCACTGGAGGAGAGAAAAATTATCTCTACACTGAAGCATTGGTTTCTGTAGTAATTATCTTCTAGATAGAAGACTGTAGCCTGAAGCAAGTGAGGAGAGTGCAGCTGAATCAGGCTGGATTGGGGCATCTTTAAAAATTCTGGAAGAGAAAACACTATTTTTGTTGGATAGTCTGCCATTCTAGACATCTTCTGTACATTGCATGATTTATGAACAAGATTCTTTTAAACCCTAGTAAACTAGGCAGAAAGTGAAATGAATTGAGATCTATGCGCTTGGGATGATAGTTTAGAAGCTTGCTTAGCAGATTTATTACCGCTTTCCTATACGTGAAATTCCTAGCCAACAAGCTATTTGAAGGGATAAACACCAGAGCCCGATTCTTTGAAGCACTCAAGTTTTATTTCCAGACTGTTTTTAGTAGAGCATTTCCCATTGTTAGATGTTGTGACGTGGCTACTACTAGCACCAGGCATTGTTAGAGCTTGAATGAGCTTATCAAGCTTAAATTTGATGTCATTTAGAAAAAATAATTTTTGTGCAGCCTCTCCCTTCTGTTCCCTGCAATATAGTATGGCTGATGGCAACTAGAATTATATCAAACCTTGCTGGGCAATATCAATTTGGGCAAGTGTTGTCTTTCTCAACCTAATTTGGAGGGGATGTGGAGTCTTCTTTCTCAAGATAACAAGCTTGTTTTTAGGAAAGGGGTATTTACAGCACTGTGAGAAATATGGTGGGCCAGGAAAGTTATAATTTGTTTGTTCCTACCTTGGTTTGCTGTTTCCCCACCTTTTTGTGGATTTATAAATACTATTTGGGCTTTTTCTCAGTCTTTTCTTCTTAGTTCTAGATCAGTGGTGATGAACCTATAGCAAGCGTGCCAGAGGTAGCACTCAGAGCCCTCTTTGTGGGCACATGCACCATCGCCCCCGTCCAGCTCCATTGTGTTTCTCCATCACATTTCTCGTCATTGTTTGCAGGACTAAAAAAACGCACAAAACAAAATTCTGTGTTTGTGGCAGTGCACTTGCTGTTGCTGCCTCTATGACCTGCCCCTTGCACAGCACAGTGAAATTTAGCATGCTTCACAATGGGGGAGATGGGGTCCCGTCCTCCTCCTGGAGCCCATTGTGACCCTGCTCATTCTCACCTCCCAGATGTCAGTTGTTTTTCCTGCAGAGTTGCTTGTGTTTGGGTGCCCTGCCTCCCCACTGGCCAGCTGAGCTTCATCACACTGCTCCTGGGCTCGTTGGCCTCCAGGCATCAGAGTGCTACCACCCAGCAGCAGTTCAGGGGTTCCTTCCTCTGCCAGGGAGAAAGTGGGGAAAGAGGGAGAGAAAGAGAGGAAGAGAGAGAGAAAGAGAGGGAGGGGAAGAGAGAGAGAAAGGGAGGGAGAGGGAGGGAAAGAGAGAGAAACAGAGAGAGGCAGAGAGATAGAGGGAGGGAAAGAGAGGGAGAAACAGAGAGAGGCAGAGAGATAGAGGGAGGGAAGAGAGAGGGAGAAAAAGGGAGAGAAACAGAGAGGAAGGGAAAGAGAGAGAAAGAAAGAGGAGAAAGAGACACGGGGGGGAAAGAAAGAGGGAGGGAAAGAGAAATGATATTACAACGTTTTTCTTTTTTATTGTTGCTAAATGTAATATTTCAAAAGCAGAAAAAAATGAAGGGGCATAAAAGTGCATTTATTACATTTTTCATAGAACAATTAGCTGAATTCTGCATTGTTTATCATTATTTTAGGTAGTAAAACCTCATTATTCGGGTTAAATTGCTGTGTTGGCACTTTGTGATAAATAAGTGGGTTTGGGGTTGCAGTTTGGGCATTCGGTCTTTAAAAGGTTTACCATCACTGTTTGAGGTTGTTTCTCTCCTTGATTTTCCTTGTTGGTCATTTCCAAAATAATCTATTTTAATTTTTGGCTTGGCATTTTCTGTCCTTGTACAGATACCATTACTACCTCTCAAAAAAGTTGATATTTCCATGTTACTATATTAGCTTTAGAGGGCTCACTATATCACCTGAAAGGGACTTTAAAAGGGACTTTGTAGGTCATCTAGTCCAACCCCCCGCCCAAGCGGAAGACCCTACACCATTTCTGACAAATGGCAATCCAATCTCTTCTTGAAAGTCTCAAGTGATGGTGCTCCCACAACTTCCAAGGACAAGCTGTTCCATTGGTTGATTGTTCTCACTGTCAGAAAGTTTCTCCGTATTTCCAGGTTAAATCTCTTCCACTCCCCCTCTTTCTCTCTCTCTTCCTCTCTTTCTCTCTATTTCCCTCTCTCTTTCTCTCTTCCCCTCCCTCTTTCCCTCTCTTTCCCTCCTTTCCTCTCTCCCTGGGGGAGGAAGGAACCCCTGAACTGCTGCTGGGTGTTGGCACTCTGATGTCTGTCAAACTCGATCATGTCACATGACATGTATCACAACTTTTTTTGCCTTTGTGGAGCTGAGGCAGGCGTAGCCTGCATGTGATGCATTCAGTCTGTGGGCCCCAATTTGACACCCCTGAGTTAACCTATAAAGCAGTGGTTCCCAAACCACCGCCCCTTGGTGCTACAAAGTCATCCTCGGTGCCCCCCACCTAGGGGTGGGATTCAAATTTCTGTAGGCATGGCCTAATTTGAGGGTGTGGCTTGTTGGTCGTGTGACTGGGTAGGG